GAGGCGACCATCCCTTAGTGACCTTGGGACCCACCCAACTAAAATTAAGTATATTTTTAGTACCTAAAAAAATCGCATTTTTTGTTTTTTTTTCTCGTTTTCTTTTAAATTCATGTGATATTTTACTATACCCCTCTCCATCTAAGGAATTGTGATTTTTTGTCAGGCCTCACGTGATTAATGGACGGCCTCTTATAAGGTCAAGATTCATAGGCCAATTCTGCAGTAAACGTAAGATAGATAACGTAGCGTTGTTATGGCAACGCTATGCTATGTTTGTTTCTTGCTAGTAAAAATTGTGAAAATGTCTATCTAATTGCTGTACGATCAGGCGTTCAGTATGCGAGTAGTATGAATTTTACATGTAATTTTAAAAATATATTATATCAACATCAAATTCAAGACTATTCATACACACACACACACACACACATATATATATATATATATATATATATATAAAACTTTCTTTTCCTTCCATATATATAACTAGTGATATTAATTTATGCATTATTAAATATGCAACTCAGATCTCTAGAGAGAAATGGACCAATCATTAGCACAAGAATACATATTTATCACACACAAATATATATATATATATATATATATATATATATATCATATAATAAACTTGATATTTAAATTATTTCTATAATTCGTAATGAAGATGAGTCGAATCAGAATTCTAAACATATGTTATATTAGTTTTAAAATCATCACCAAATCAAACACACATCAAATCACCCATATTACCCATAAAATAGTAACAAAATCAAAATGCAAAGCATTTGCTGCAAAAAAACGATTTTTGGTTTAATCATTTAAAAAATCGACAAAAATCTAGAGTGTGTTTCTACCCTTATAGAACTTGTATGGAGCTGCAATAAGGGTACGCGCACACGAATGATTTTCATAGACAAACTTCAAGTCGATGATGAATCATCAAAACATTGTTTTTGAAAAATAATTTAGAGTTCATATATTTAAAAATCAGAAACTTAGATTAAATCAATATTAAGACACAAAAATAAATAATTAAAAAATAATATAATTAAAATAAATTTTAATGATAACTAAAGTTAAAGGATTAAATAAATATTAAGAAAAATATTTACATTTTTCTGAATATTTATTTAATTCTTTAATTTTAATCATCATTTTTGAGACATTATTATTATTAATCTGTAATAATTCCACAATATCATTATAAATCAAACGACTTGTATATTATTATTTCAATTAATTAACATTAAATATTCTATTTATCAATCAATATTTAAGAATGAAATGTTTAAAATACTTGTGCATGTTTTGTTCCCACGATTGGTTTTCAATTGTTGAAATTCGCACAATCAAAAGTAATGGCAATATTATTGTTTTTTCTTTCAAGAAACGAATTGTTTGATTTAGGAAATTTTTGGTGTTTGTTTAAAAACCATACAAAATAGATTTGGGAACGAAATTTTAAAATGTAATGTAACATAGAGACAAATGAAAATGACTATAGTGATAATTTAGAGAATAATAATAGTTAATTTATAAATTTTCTATCAGACTCGCTAAAAATCTTATGATGGAGAGTATCCGAGTCCGAAACGTCTTAACAATATACTTTTATTTAAAAAAACACTTCTCTCCTTTGATAATACAATACTTTTCGTAATCGTCCAAAAATCGAAATTATAAATTATCTTCACGTTTCAGGTGTTTCTGAATATTTTGGCATACCTTAGAAAAATTGATGTAGGTGTATGTGTGCGCCTGTGTGTATGTATGTACGCATACAATTTTTCGTCAACGTTTTCGGACGCACGGATTAACCGATTTGAATGATTCAAAAAACATTCGATTCCTATTGATAGGAAAATGTGCTGATTAGTTTTTGGCAAAGGCTAGTCCAGCCGTTTCGGAGATAAGGAGCAAAGAGTGCAGAAAATAGAAATCGAGTTTTTGAGAAAACGGAGCATCCGATTTGAATAATCTAAAAAACATTCAATTCGTAATGATGGGGAGAAGTGGTGATTAGTTTTTTAGCAAAGGCAGGTCCAGCCGTTTCGTAGATACGGAGAAGTTCTAGCAATTTGCCTTAAGGCACGATACCATACACCACTAGTTATTTTAAATATTATAAATATTAAAAATATAATCAGGTCTAAATTATGTGTTATCTACTTTCTCTTTGATTATTATTATTATCATTTTGTATACATTAAATTTTTCATTTAGATACTTGATTAATAAATAATTAATTTATATTCTATATTCATTTAAATTTTTTTTTATTAATTAATTTATATTTATATTCATTTACTTCATTATTTCATTATTTTTTTTATTTAAATATAACTAAATAAATAAAAATAAATTTAAATATTTATTTGCAAATTTGTTTTTGCAAAATTTGCAAATTTTAAAACATATTTCCATCGATGATAATGTTGATGTCGGCACATTCTTATATATAAAAATTTATTTATTTATTTATAGTTAGCAACAAATTTTAGCTGAATTTTAAATTTTAAGTAGAGCACAAGTTTATATATATATATAATATATATATATATATATATATATATAGCTTTAAATAAATAAATGCATGTAGGAAGGCCCCCTTAAGCTCAGAAAATGACCCTGACAGTCTTAATTGATGAAATGAAGATATGACCTTAGGAGACCCATACAGATTCATAATGTTACATTAGAATATATATATACTCGTATATATATATATATATATAATATATATATATATATATGTGATATATATATATATATATATATATATATATATTCTAATGTTATATAAATATGTATATATATTTAAAAAAATAATATGAACAAAGTAAATTTTAAAAATTTGAAAAAACCCTCGAACTAATACCGAATGTGAATTTAAATTCTAATGTACAAACTCACTTTGAAAATATAACTAGGTTTAAGTGACATTTTGCTCCAAGGCAATTTAGACAAATTTTCCTTAAATGAGTGATATCTAAACTGAACTTTAATATTCTTAGAAAACATTCTAATATGACACTAATCTTTTGAGACATTGCAAATACTTAGAAAGCATATTGAAATTGTATCTTCTTGGGTCTACACCAAAACACAATTTAAATTTTAAATATTTAGAAATTGAACCTTAAAATTTATGAAATTGAGTTGAAACCCTAAGATCCTCTATCTATACTTATAAAATACCTCGATGGCACTTCCTTAAGAACTTCGGAGTAACACAAAAAATCTGTGTTTAGAATTCCTTTTATGTCTTTTAGACATTTATATCACTCCAGATAATAAGAAAGTGAGAAAATATTCAACAGAGTGAGAACTTTGATTTTTCTTCTCAAAATGAAAAAAAAAAATACCTGTAGCATATTTTGAGATCTTCTTTAAAGCAACGTAGAAGATTTGTGTTTAGATGTCTTTTTCTAAAATACAAGTGTCAGAAATGATCTGAGAAAGGGAGATCATATTTTACAAAGTTTCTGTGACATGTATTTGTCTTATACTTAGAGCCTCCAATCTTTCGAGACATCGTGAATACTTAGAAAACATTCTAGCATATATTTTCAACTCTCTATATAAAAAAAGACAAATTTGAATTTTATATATTTAGAAATAAAGCATTGGAATTTATGATTTCAATTCTAGTGGTTGTATCAGATAAAATTTGAAAAAAGGACTCCAAAGATCTTGGTTTATGCTTAATGAAATATTAATAGAAGTACTTTTGGGGTCTTCTTGAAAGTAACTCAAAAATTCTGTGTATAGAAGCCCTTTTTTATATTCTTAATATTTAGAAATTACACATTAAAATTTTTTAATTTCTGGTGCCCACATCAATTGAAATTTGGAAAAACAACTCTAAGGATCTTTATTTGTTAGTGAAATATTAATTAAAGTACCTTTGGAGTCTTCATTGAGATAGCACAAACATTTTGTGTATAGAAGTTTTATTTATAAAATATAATATTAGTTTTTTTCACAAAATGCTTTGAGAAAGTGACACAATACTTAGGAAAGTGTCTGTATCGTATATTTGCATAATTTGGGGCTTCTCATAAACATTGCCCATAAACATTTTGCACTTTTTCTAGGTCTCCTTTAAGGAAAAAAAAACAGAAGTTTTGTGTTTAGATGTCTTACTCTAAAACAAAAGAGAGATAATGTTTAACAAAATGTCTGTGACATGTATTTGTTTAATACTTGTACAAAATTTGGGGCCTCCAATCGCTCGAGAATAATTAGAAAATTTTATAGCCTATATTTTCCATATTGTTTTAAAAAACAATTTATAATTTACATATTTAAGAATTATGCAATAAAAATTATGCTTTTCTGGTGTTTGTATCAGTTGAAAGAAAGGCTCTAGGAACCTTGATTCATGAAATGAATGAAATCCTTAGTAAAAAAGTAAAGTAACTTTGGGGTATTTTTTCGAGTAACACAAAAATTCTGTGTATAGAAGCCCTTTTTTATATATTCTGTACATTGTATGTCATTTATATCAGAAAATGATCTGATAAACTGACATAATACATATGTCTGTGTCATACATTTGAGTAGTACTCGCAGAATTTGGGGCTCTTTGTCAAAATAAAATAAAATACCTTCGTCTCCTTGGAACTAACACAGATGTTTTGTGTTTAAATATTGTTTTCTAAAATTAAGGTTTCAGAAAGCCCTGGCAAAGAAAGAGAATATTCATCAGAATGTCTGTGATATGTATTTCAGTAATACTTGCACAATTTGGGGCCCCCTGTCAAAATGAAATAAAATATCCATGCACTTTTTGTACTTTGTTGTCTCCGTTTAAGTAACATAAATGTTGTGTTTGAATGTTCTTTCCTAAATTAGAAAATGCTCTGTGAATGTAGAATAATATATAGCAAAATGCATGTGTCATTTTATACTTGCACAACTTGGGGCACCTTCTTATATGTCAATTATCCATTGTGAACAAAATTAAGAAACACTTATCCTCTACCACTCACCACTGTGTTCCGTGAAAATATTACTCCCCAGGTTCCTCTGATCCTTGACATTTTGCAATTGGGGCCTGCCTTTGGCTCTGCTAGACCTCACACTGGCCGAAGCCTGTTGCAAAGCGCGCTCCTTGCCTTGTTGAGCGCCCATTTTCGCTAAATCCGAGGCTCATACCACAAAAACACCTCTAGGACACTCTTTTATTAATAGTTTCACTAAAAATTCAACAATTATTTACAAAACAACTCACAATACTACGATCTGGTAGAGATGACTTACTCTAAAAAGCACTCTGGGGGGTATTTTATGCCGATTGGAATAGAATTGATTACGTATACATTTTGTGGGGTTGTTGGGCATAGGATTTGTTAATGGGGAGTTGGTTTTATCACAGTTTTATTGTTAGAAATTTGTGTTTTCTTTTATTGGAATTATTATAATTGTTCTGACATGTTCGATGTCGATTATTTGGTATTTGACACTGACACTAGAGGCGCCACGTTCCTTGTGCATTAAATGCACTTCGACAGTGTTGCCATATGCAAAAAGTAAACAAAACAAAAAACAAGTTAAAAATCAAAACGATTTTAAATAATAAAATTTATTACAATACGTATTAGATAAACTAATAATAATGTTTAATAGTTTTTTATATTCAATTAAAACTATTACATTACTTTTAATATAGTTTTTTATTTTAAAACTAGCACCATCTTCATACCATCAATGTTACCAATATAGCAAATAACTTTACCATTATTTAAATTTTGTAATTTGTTTTATTTATAAATAAAAGCGTGGAAAATATTTGTTTATATATTTATACAAAATATAAATTATAAATATATAAATTTATTATATAATTAGAGCATTAAGAGTTTATTGAACTTATTAACTTCCGAAGAAGTAGTTTATGTTTTTGCTAGAAAATCCGACTTGATTATTTTAATAACTTCCCGTAGGGTAAGTTATAGTCATAGATAAAAGAAGAGTCGAAATTGAACATTTTTGCATATCTTTACGTTTCAGGGATTCCTGAACATTAGATGTATGTGTGTGTTTTATGTGGATACAATTATGCTTCCCCGATTTCGCGCGCATGGATCAACCGATTTGAATGATTCAAAAAACATTCGATTCTTATTTATAGGATGACAAGCTGATTAGTTTTTGGTTAAGACAGGTCTAGCCGTTTCGGAGATACGATGCAAAGAGTGCAGAAAAGAATTCGAGTTGCATACCTCAGAAATTATTTAGCTATAGCTGTGTGTGTGTGTGTTTTGTGTGAATACAATTTTTCATCTCCGAATGCAGGCGCACGGATCAACCGATTTGAAATATTCACAAAACATTCGATTTCTACTGATGGGTAGATGTACTGATTAGTTTTTGGCAAAAACATGTCCAGCCGTTACGGAGATACGGAGCAAAGAGTGCAGAAATTAGAAATCCGATTGAATGTTTCGAAAATCATTCAATTCGTAATGATGGGGAGAAGTGGTGATTAGTATTTGTCAAAAACAGGTCCAACCGTTTTTTAAAATAAAGAGCTAAATGAGCGTTTTGATAAAGAATGGTATCATAACTGCATCTTTCTGATAACATGTGATATATCTAAAATATACCTAATTGCTCAACAAATAAATAGACATTTTCATAGTTTTAGTACCAAGAAAGAAGGATAAGATAGTTGCCATGACAACACTATGTTATCGGCTATGTTACCGCAGAATTGGCCTCATAATATTTGTTGACGATCAACCAAACTTGAAACAGTGATAAATTTACTTATTTATATAGTGATAGAGTTAATGATCTTAACGTACATCCTAAAATATTATAGGCCTATGAAAAGAAGTTTAGTTTAAAAAAAAATGGATTACGAGCCGCGCCCTTAGGTCATATGTGATTGTATATTCATGCAGATTCCTCACGAAGGGATATTATTATTATTTATACATACTATGTAACTTGCTTAACGCCACTTACACCTAGTTTATTTTATTTGCCAAAAAATTTTTTTGAAAAAATCTTTTACATACAACTAGCGCCATCTATTACCAGTCTGAACAACTACAAATGTCAAACGTCAAACACTCGTTTAGATGACTCGATGCAATAAAATGCATAAAGAATTCATTTTTACTCAAACTGCTCAACAATAAACATCCAAACCATATAATAAATAAATAATTAATAATATGTTTTGCTGATAAATAATTTGTTGGGCCTAAAATAGTAAAAACAATATTGGTTTTAAACATAACCTCAAAACACAACAATGAATCCTGTAGATTTTGTATTGATAAAAGACATAAGGCCCGGGTTGAAAATATTAATGTTATTTTCATTGTTTTGGAAATAGGAATGCCCACAATTACCAAAGAAAAAAGAGAGGTTTGTTGGAAAAGACTTACATCACCCTTTATAATAAATACAATAATGTATAAAGTTGAAACTCGATAACTACAAACACACAATTACTACAATTTCACTTAATCACTTAATTTATTTCCTTTACCCCCAGGTGAGAACCCTCAAAGTAGCAGACTCGACAGCCTGTATAAATCTATCAGTCTGGACGAACCGGGGCACGTGATAGTGCCAGGTGATATAATCAAATTAACGAAAGGCTATGCAGCCATCTGGAGACAATGTTTAACTTTATACTCGGGAAAGAATGGTGATATCCAAAAAATAGGAGAATTTTGTATGACTTTCAATGAACAGTTGAATATGAGCGAACCTATGCCGGTAGTGCCAAACACGAATGCGGGGCCACAGAATTTAAATAATATCAATAATGGAACTACGAATAATGGGGGGAATGCTAATAGGTATGTTAATAAATGGAGATAAAGGGGATCAAGATTTATTTTATATATGAAAGAGTAGACGTTTATTTTTGTTATTTGTTTAAAGGATTATTGAAATTGTAGTTGAAGTTATTTTTTTTTATAGTATATATATAGTTCTATATTTTTATAGCAGAGTTATAGCTAAATATATTTTTGTTTAGAATTTACTTTTTTTTTTTTAAATGTTTTAAATTTTGTCTGTAACCGCGGTTTCCAACCTGTGGGGCACCAAAAGTACAAATGTTTCCAAATGTTATTTTTGAAAATGAACTAAAAATTTTAAAAAATTAACTAATGCCACGAAACTTAGTTCTCATTATATATTTGAGTCGCAATAATAAAATAATTAATTTTAACTTGTTTAAATAGTGTTTGTTTTAATTTTTTTTTTTTATTACAGACCAGGGGTTTCCAACCTTTTTTGCGCAGCGCCCCCTCCCTCCGCACTCTAAGAAAAAAATTCTGGTGGCTCCCTCATTTTTTTTCAACAATTTCATTTCATAAATACTCAACTGATATTTTCAGACTACAAATTAATATTCAATACTATGTAAAAATATCCAAAAAAACTGATCATAATTTTTAATTATTGCACTGCGCGAAAAAGGTTGGGAATCACTGGTCTATAATAAAAGAATGATCAAAACAAACACTATTTAAAACAAGTTATAAATTGAGCTTCAAATTAATTATTTTGTTATTGCAACTCTAATATGTATTGAGAACTAAGTGTAAGTGGCATTAGTTAAAGTTTTAAATTTTTTATCTGCCGTAAAAAATGGAAATTAACTAGGTTTTAGTGGCATTTCACCTTAAGGCAAGTTGCATGTCTTCTCATTTTTATTTTTTTAAACTATCTGAAGGGAAATTTTGAGTTCACTAGAAAATCTGATTTGGTAATTTTATGTTTTCTAAGTCATTCTGAAGTGTTTGATGCCAAAATAGGAAAACCTAAGTATGTGTGTATATACATGATATCTAGTATCTTTAAAAATGAGTGCACCAATTTTAAAAATTCAATAGCATTTTGATTAAACTCACATAAAAGTAGTAAATTGGATTTCCTACTCAAAACCAATCCTTTTAAAAGAGAATAAACTCATACTCTACTTTTAACTCTACTTTAAAAGAGAATAAATTCATAATCTACTTTTTAAGATCTGTTAAATGACATATCACATGCCTAAAAGTGTTATTATTTTGTTTATTGCCAATTTGCTAAAACATATGTTAACTTTGTTTGTATCTAATTGCTTGTTTATTGTCTCTAATAACACTCTTTACAATATTTGTCTCTATATATCAATATTTGTTTCTCACAATAAATAATCTACTCACACACATACTTTATTCTTGAAAAACCAATTTAATTTTATCGAGGATTATCCAACTCTAATACTCTTGGTAACTTTGTTCGTCTCTATTAACACACCTCATCTCTAATTACTCGTTTATTGTCTCTAATGACATTCTCTACAATCTTCATCTCTATATGTCACTATTTGTATCTCACAATATATAATCTACTCACACACATACTTTATGCTTGAAAAACCAATTTAATTTTATCAAGGTAATCCAACCCTAATACTCTTTTATTAACTTTGTTCGTCTCTATTAACACACCTCATCTCTAATTACTCGTTTATTGTCTCTAATGACACTCTAAATTATTCATCTCTATATATCAATATTTGTCTCTCACAATATAATCTACTAACACACATACTTTTTCTTGAAAAACCAATTTAATTTTATCAAGGGTTATCCAAACCTAATACACTTTTATTAACACTTTGTTCGTCTCTATTAACACACCTCATCTCTAAGTACTCGTTTATTGTCTCTAATGACACTCTCTACAATATTCATCTTATATGTCATTATTTGTCTCGACATTATATAATATATAGTATATTATTCTTTTGTTATTCTATTCATATATTATGCTATATACATTAACACATAGCACAATACTTTTTATTTAAGGAAAGAGTTTTCTCAGATTTAGTATTTGTTATTCAAATATACATATTAAGGCAATACACATTTAATAATTAATTACTAGTAATTAATTTTATAATTAATTAACAGTATTTTAGTACAAACAGGGTAGTCCTAAGGAGCTCTCGAGTTTTAATATTGCATTTTACTTATGTTTAAATTCTTCTCTCTCTATCTCTTAGTAATTTTCTTTCAATAATTTCTTTAATATTAAAATTCTTACTAATAAAATTAAAATACTAATTTTAATATAAGATATATTAAAATTATATTACTAATTTTAATATATCTTTTAAATCTTATATAATTCCATTAAATGGATTAAATTTAAATTCATTTTGATTTTAGATGCATGCAATAGAATTATTTTACCTGTTAATTTCTCAAAAACGAATTTCAATCATTAGTTTCCTTAACGATTATTCAAAGTATTTTAATATCAGGGGTTGGCAACCTTTTTTTTACAACCTCTACAAAGCTGTGGCGTACAAAGCCACTCTACCAATATGATTTAGGGTGCCACCTTCATTCTAAATTATATAATGGGGTTCTAGAGGAGAAACATTTTATACCAAATTTATTTTTTAAACGTATTTATTTAAAAAATACTATTAAATTCTAACACAAATGAAAATTTTTAATGCGAACTTTGTCTCTGCACATTTTTGCTTCATATTTCAATATCAGGGGTACAAATTTGTGACTTTTAATTTCACATAAGATTCTGAACCATTCAGAACCATTCAGAACCCCATTGCGTGCCGTAGGTTGCCGACGCGTGCTCCACATACTTCTTTCAATTTCGGTGTCAAACGATTCAGAATGACTTGAAACATCTAGAATACAACCAGAGATATTAGCAAATCGGATTTTCTGACTAGAATATAAATTTCTCTTTGGATAATTCTATTTCTCTTCATATCTTTTTCAATTGCGGCGTCATAAACGATTCAGAATGACTTGAAACATCCAGAAAACAATCAGCGAATCGGATTTTCTGGCTAAAATATAAATTTCTCTTTGGATAATTTCAATACTCTTTATAACATTTTGAATTGCGGTGTCAAACTATTCAGAATGACTTGAAACATCCAGAAAACAATCAGCAAATCGGATTTTCTGGCTAAAATATAAATTTCTCTTTGGATAATTTTAATACTCTTCATACCTTTTTCAATTGCGGTGTCGAACGATTCAGAATGACTTGAAACATCCAGAAAACAACCATAAATTTCTCTTTGGATAATTTTAATACTCTTCATACCTTTTATAATTACGGTGTCAAATCATTCAGAATGACTTGAAACATCCAGAATACAACCAGCAATTGGTTTTTTTTGGCTAGAATATAAATTTCTCTTTCGATAATTTAATGAAACTAGTAGTGAATGGCATCGTGCCTTAAGACAAATTACTGGAACTTTCCGTACCAAAAATTAATTTTTTTAAAAAAGATTTAATGTTCTCGTAGAACTCCGAAAAAAAGATTTTTGAAATTTTTCAAGTTTATGAAAAAATTGACCTTATTGAAAAAATTGATTTTTTTTTTTTGAATTCAGTTACCATTTTTGGAACTTTTTGTTCCGTATCTTTGAAACGGCTGGACCTGCCTTTGACAAAAACTAATCAGCACGTCTCCTTATCAATAAGAATTGTTTTTTTGAATTATTCCAATCGGTTGACCCGTGCTCCCGAAATCGTTCATTTTTTCTAAGGTATGCCAAAATGATCAGGAACCTCTAATATTTTTATTCAAAAAGTTTTTTTTTATTCAAAAAAGTAATTTTTTTAAAAAAATCTAATTTTTACAAAGTAAAAAAAAATTAATATGTTTTAAAGAATTTAATTTTTCGGTTTGCCAGCAATTTGCCTTGAAACACAATGCCATTCACGACTAGTTCTTATTTTTTTTTTGTGATTAATTTAACTTAGCCTATTTGAAGTTAATAAATCTATTCCTCCCAATAATCCTCCTATTTTTTTTTCCAGGACATCAACAATTGTACAACCAAACAACACAACAACGATTTCAAAACCGTCCAACACCACATTGTCTTCAGGGAACTCGAGATACTCAGGTGGCAGTGTGTCATCGTCTGAAGAATCTTCCATGAAATCACAAAACAAATCGACACATCGTTCCAAAACACCTCACAACAGGGGAAACAATATTCGAAATGATCGGAGATAGAATTAGGGGAAAAACTTTAATTGTAGATGTTTTTATTAACATTATAATATAAATGGTGTGTTTTGTTTGGAGTGAATTTGAGATCATTGAGAGATGATTAATAATTTTCCTAATGAAAACTTTTCAAAAATTGATCCAGGGAATTCCCTGGATTTTTTGATCCCATCAACTTGGGATAAAGATTTGATGAGCACTTCTTGAATGAGACTTTTGAATCCCAAATTTTCTGAAGATTTAGTTGAATCTTGAATATAAATTGTTACTCCACATTTTGAATATTGATTCCAAAGTTTTTTAATCAACAATATCTAATTTTTTAGTACTATTTTTATCTTGATGTTTTTTTACATTTGTTTTCTTGGAAGAAAAACTTTAAATTTATAATTATGTAATAATTCATAATTTTTGTAAAATTGTTTATAATATGTTTATACAAAATATTTAAATTCAGATTGATGGAAGTCAATACAGACGATAGATCAGAAAGATGAAAATATTTCTTTAAAATATGATATTGTTATTGTACATGTTTGTATGATGTTTTAATATATGTAAATTCTTAATAATATTTGTACATTGTATATGTTGTTATATATAATTTTTAATCTAGAATGTATTTTAGCGGCTAAAATGGTTATTATAATGTATACATGTAGTTATATGGTGCTAACTAAAACACTTTTTTATATAGAAACATGTTTAAATGAGTCACTATTTCTTTTAACCCTTTCCACTCGCGAATTACGAGATTTATTAACTTCCCGTAGGGTAGCAATCGAAAATAAAATTTTTTGCATTTCTCGACGTTTTGAAGGTTTCTGAACATTTTGACATGCCTCAGAAAAAATGGATGTGTGTGTGCGTGTGTATGGATACATTTATTTGTCGACGTTTTCGGGCGCACGGATCAACCGATTTGAATGGTTCAAAAAACATTCGATTCCTATTGATAGGGAGATGTGCTGTTTAGTTTTTGACAAAAGCAGGTTCAGCCGTTACGGAGATAAAGAGCAAAGAGTGCAGAAATTAGGAATCGAGTTTTTGAGAGAAAGGAGCATCCGATTTGAATGATCTATAAAACATACAATTAGTAATGATTGGGAGAAATGGCTATTAGTTTTTGGCAAAGGCAGGCCCAGCGATTTCGAAGATACAGAGTTAAATATACAAAAATTTGCAGTTTTTGAGAGAAATAAGCATCCGAATCGAATAATTCAAAAAACTTTCTGCTTGTGTTGACAAAACAATTGCTTTGGGGAAAAAAATTTCATATCAATTTTTTTTTTGTATATCGAAAATAATTCAGACTTCAATTTATATACCAACTTTCAATTTATATATTAACTTTGTACTTTAAATAATTATTTTTGACTTTGTGATTCAGTTTATATAATTCCTCGAACATTTTCGAGTGGAAAGGGTTAATATAATTTTTTTTTTCAAAATTGTAGATACACAAATATAATTTTGAAAAAATTTCGTCAAATATATGTGAATCAATACATGTTTTTTAAAGCAAAACTTTTAATGCGACTTGAAACCAAGTTGCCTTGTAGGTTCAATTGTAGATCGACTAATGATGACGTCAAATTCTTTATCGAAAAATCTGGAATATAAAAATGCTTTAATTTTTTTTTTTACTTGATGCAATAAAGCTCCGTTAAGACGATTTTCCAAGAAACTAAAACGCAACCTTGGAGAAAGCGTATTATGCGGAATAGGGACAATATGTTTCAAAAAACAAGGATCTATTATAATATATTTAGTTGAAGTAAAACTTCATAAGGACAATTTTTAACTTATTATGCGGAATAGATACACGCTTCAAAGTGCAGAGACCGTGAAAAGAAACGTATTAAGCGAGAAATCGTACTAAGCATATTTGTCTTAACGGGGATCTTAACCCTTTCCATTCGCAAATTGCGAAATTAATATGAATTTTGTCGCCGGAGCGGCGGTATCCGAGTGGAAAGGGTCAATTTAATTACCGACCGAGTAAATAATCGTAATATGCGAGAAATCGTATTAGGCATAATCGTCCTAACGAGTATTTTAACCCTTTATACTCGCGAATTGCGAAATTAATATGGATTTTAATAATTAATATGGATTAAATTAATATGGATTTTGTCGCCGGAGCGGCGGGATCCGAGTGGTAAGGGTTAATATAATTACCGACCGAGTGAAGAATCGTATTATGCGAGAATTTGTACTAATCATAATTGTCTTAAGGGGGAAAATTAATATGAATTTTGCCGCCAGAGAGGCATCCGAGTGGAAAGGGTTAATTCAATTTAATTCACGTTTATAATAATGAATCTTGAATTGAATACGAATATCTTATTATGAATTCTATTTATTAATTGCGAATTGCGAAATTAATATGAATTTTGTCGCATCCGAGTGGAAAGGGTTCATTTAATTTAATTCACTTTTATGATTATGAATTTTGAATTGAATATGAATAAGAATCATCTTATTATGAATTCTATTTATTAAATTTATAATGATTCGCAGGATGAAATTTTCCAATAGATGTCTAGTAATTTAGAATGTTAGCACGTATGAATGTAAATTGAATGTTTTCAATGTATTTAATATAATTTTTTTTCGTTTTTTTTGAAAAATTCATGTATGTATGTACTTATTATAATACACACCAAATTTTATAATACAAGTATTTTGGACTAATGATAGTGTTTTTTTAAAAAAATATTAATTCTAACTATGTGTAAGTGTGTAAATAATCAATAAGAATTGATAAATAGCAATTTTTATTGATTATTTACATATTTATAAAATTGTGACTATAAATACATATTGATTATGGTTAAATTATAAAAAAATCACGAATGCTTGCCATGTCGTCCGAGCCTCACACGACGCATTTCCATACATTTTTACTTAGGCTGTTATATACATGGTAAGCGTTATTTTTAAATTCCCGTAGGGTAAGTTATTGTAATCGTCCACTTTTGCATTTCTTCACGTTTCGAAAGTTTCTGAACATTTTGGCATGCCTCAGAAAAAATTGATGTGTGTGTATGTATGTGCGAAGACAATTTTTCGTCGACGATTTCGGGCATATGGATGAACCGATTTGAAAAATTCAAGAAGCAATCGATTCCTATTGATAAGGAGATGTGCTGTGGATAAAATTGTTTGTTACATTTTTTATGTTATGGTATTAAATGTAATGTTATATATGTATATATATATATATATATATATATATATATATACATTTGTAATTCAAATGTCCCGCCATTATTATTAGTGATGTTGGTAATGGTGTTTCCTTCCACCATCAGCAAGTATCCGCCATTTTTAATTTTTGTTAATGTAAAAATATGTAAAATAATCTCTCTTGCTCTGGATCGCCAATCAATCAACATTAAAATAAATTAATATACTTTATAAAGTATATTTATAAATATACTAAATTTAGTATATTTATAAGAAGCATTTTTATTTTTATCATGCTGATTAGGAAATACGAAGAAAAAAGTGCAGAAAATAGAAAACGATTATTAGAATGATTCAAAAAACCTTCAATTCATAATGACGGGGAGAAGTGGTGATTAGTTTTTGGCAAAGGCAGGTCTAGCAGTTTTAGCTCTACTCCCCATCATTACAAATTGAATGTTTTTTAGATCATTCAAATCGGGTGCTCATTTCTCTCAAAAACTCGATTTCTAATTTCTGCACTCTTTGCTCTTTATCTCCAAAACGGTTGGACCTGCTTTTGCCGAAAACTAATCAGCACATCTCCCTATCAATAGGTATCGAATGTTTTTTGAACCATTCAGATCGGTTGATGCGTGCGCCCAAAAGCGTGGAAAAATTGTATCCATACACACACACATCCATTTTTTCTGAGGTATGTCAAAATATTCAGAAACCTCTGAAACGTAAAGATATGCAAAAATTGTCAATTTTGATTTTCGGATTTTTACAATAACTTACTCCACCCTAATAAATGCACAAACTTGTAAAAGTTAGCAAAGCCACATAATTATTTCTTATTTTTAATTATATTGCATTTTGCACAAATTTTAAGTCGGCCAAACAGCTGTGAAAATATTCACGTTAATAAGCAAATATTTTATCAGTCAGATGACATTTTTCAAATTCAACAAAAAAATCAATGAATAATCTTTAAATAGCGCGCCATCTTATCTATATGGAAAGTCGATAAGAGAAAACTGAAAACAAGTCTGAATATAATTAATAATTTTTTTAAGTGTAAATATTATTAATAACAAACGTGCTAATTATTAAAAATATAAATAAACACATTTGTTTATAATTAAATATTTATATAAACATTTTTTATGTTTACAATCCACGTGTCAATCTGACAGCTGTCACTCCATCTGTCATTGAGTCTGTTTTTGTTTATACAATATGTTTTAGTGTAAATTGTTTAAAAACCAAAAAACTAAACACAAATCAATAAATCACAACAATGTAACTTTACGAATAAAACATTCAAATAAAAATCCATTATCAAAATTTGAAATTTATGTGAAAATTTCTCCAAAAACCGAACCTAACCTCAAAACCATGGTATAAGAAAAACAGAGACAATGGGTGGTTTTAAATATGAACAATTGAATACAAATGCAGAAGCCGCTGATTTTAATTATACAGAATCCCCAAGTTATGTAAATAAGAACAAATCTGTGAAGCCTATTTTTAAGACTTTGGGATTGATCTCGGTGTACTTTACACTTTCTATCGGACTCACATTTTACCAAAGATGGCTTGTGAAAGTAAGATAATAATATAATAATTGATAATGTATTTGTATTGTTGATATGATAATTGTATTATAAATGTAGATAGAAATCCTTGGGATACGACTTAAATTGATTTGGTCTTGTACAATTGTTTTGTCATTGGAACAAATCATTCGAACAAATTTGTTTCATTCATTGAAAGTGCTGGACCATCCTCTCGTTTGTTTTCATCATTTTAAGTAATATATATGTATATAATAGATGACCCGACAGACGTTGTACTGTACCCACGTCTACAATTCAAAAGTTCCAAATTTTTTAATATCTTATTTGATGTCCTGCCTTTGTGATTAATTTATGGTCTTAGCATAAGCAGTATAAAAAATTCACAAAAAATAATATAGTATCTGCGATGAAAGAACAATATCACACTTGATTTTATCACACAACATAATTGTTTCAATAATTTAGTCCATAACTTTCATAATCTTATTGCTTTTTGGAATTATAATTTCTAAAGTACATTTTTCTTACTAATACTTTAATAACCAAATTTTATGTTCAAATCTTAGGTGAATTAATTTGTAAACTCTAGTTCATATGTGCATTATTCAATCTAAGATCAACGAGCTAAATATTATATATTGAATGCCAAAGAAATGAATTTTTGACACATTAAACAAAATTCTAAATCATTTTTTCATTAAGTAGAAATATATTTTTGTATTGTTAAATAATTTAGTAAAGAAAACCAATTATGCATAAGTTTAAAAAATAATGTATATGTAATTTTGGTCTTATTGCGTTATTTATTAAACTGAATTATATAATTTCATTTGCCATACATATACTGTTGACTCTATCTTATATCATTAGTATCAAAAATAATGTAGACATTACATTTTAATCACATTACTTATATAATATAGGTTCATAATTTCAGCTACATTCAAATTTCAAGTGAATTGGCATTTCTAGCATATGACAGTTCAAATGTTTTCAATGTCAAACAATGATAAGTGGTTTCTTGTAATTTTTGCTAATTATTTCTGTTATATTACTATAGTTTTATCGTTCATTAAAAATTTCCTTTGACAAACTCTAGAAAGAATTAACAAAATCCGAATAACCGTTTAGGAGAAGTAGCAAATCATACACTCGTACAGAAGAATTTTATATATAAGATAGATAAGAAATACATACATATATATATATATGGGGGGCCTAACACCGAGTACAAAAACAAAAGGAAAAGATTTAATTTTATTTCTTATTATCCTGGAATAATAAAGATGCTTCTTTACCATCTTTATCATATTTTTCTACTTGATTGTTATAACTTTCTGTATTTATTATTAATTTTTATCATTTTTTTTTCCAGAGTCTGAATTTCCACTTAACAATAGTAGTGTTCCATTTAACATTCAAATTCCTGCTGGCTGCAATTCTTCGACAATTGATTACAAAACATCGAGCAAACATAACGTTAGGCACAGCTTTGAGATCTGTAGCACCCACCGGGTTGGCAAGCGGAATTGATGTGGGGCTCTCTAATTGGGGACTCGGTCTAGTCACTATGTCATTGTAAGTGATATAAAGGAACAAATGTATATATATGTATATATATATATATATATATATATATATATGTATATATATATTTGTGTATTAATTACTTGTGTGAGGAAGAGTCAAATTAGGACTCGAAAAGAATGGATCTGTTAAATTTATTTTAGGAAAAATTCCTTAATTTTTATCTTATTTTATTATCTGGATGAGGATGACTGTTAAGAAGTTTATTTTATTTTATCAACATATTTATCACCATGTAAAAAAAATATTATATGTATATATATATATATATATATATATATATAATATTAGGGTGGTCCTCAATATGGATATTTTCGAATTGCCTTGCTCCCAGCTGCTTGCTCAAATGCTTCCAAACTGATAAGAAAAAAATTGTTGAAAATTTAGCTCTTAATAATAACTTTAAAATAGTCCGCACTCCAACTAAAGTTTCTTGGTTCTTCTTCCTAGGTAAATACTTATTTTATGAAATTCACCAAATTTTTGTTGTAAATTTTTTATTTATGACCAAAATAAGCAAATACAATGTTGTTCTTAAAATTTTGATTCACTTGTCGTTAAGTTAAACTTTTCCCATGTTATTTCCATAAAAAACTTTAGTTGGAGTGCGTACTATCTAAAAGTTAATATTAAGAGCTAAAACTTTCAGAGAATTTTTTTATCAATTTGGAAGCATTTGAGTCATTGGAACAAGAGAATTTGAAAATATCCATATTAAGGACCACCCTTAAGAAATATATATTTGTCTATTTCAGGTACACAATGACCAAATCGACAACAATAGTGTTTATATTAGGATTTGCTATAATTCTAGGATTAGAAAAGAAGGTAAAATAATACATATTTATTATTATGTTTTTATTTTTATTTTGCAACTTCCTAAATTAGTTTAAGTTTTTATTTTTATTTTTTATTATGTTTTTATTTTTATTTTGCAACTTCCTAAATTAGTTTAAGTTTTTATTTTTATTTTTTATTACGTTTTTATTTTTATTTTGCAACTTCCTAAATTAGTTTAAGTTCCCGTAGGGTAAGTTATAGCAATCGCAGAAAAATCCATTTTTTGCAGATCTTTACGTTTTAAGGTCTTCTGAACATTTTGGCATACCTTTGAAAAAATGGATGTGTGTATGTATAGATACAATTTTTCGTCCACGTTTTCGGCTGCACGGATCAACCGATTTGAATGATTCAAGAAACATTCGATTCCTATTGATAGGGAGACGTGCTGACTAGTGTGTAATATCTATGCATGTTTGGATACAATTTTTCGTCTACGATTTCGAGAGCACGGTTCAACCGATTTGAATGATTCTAAAAACATTCGATTTTTTTTGATAGGGAGATGTGCTGATTAGTTTTTGGCAAAGGCAGGTGCAGCCGTTTCGGAGATACGGAGCAAAGAGAGCAGAAAATAGAAATCTAGTTTTTAAGAGAACGGAGCATCCGATTTGAATGATTTAAAAAACATTTGATTCCTATTGATAGGGAGACGTGCTGATTAGATTTTGGTAAAGGCAGGTCTAGTCGTTTCGGAGATACGGAGCTAAATATGCAAAAAATGGCAGTTTTTGAGAAAACTTAGCATGCGATTTGAATGATCCAAAAAACTTTCTGCTTGTGTTGATTGATGAAACGATTGATTTTGGGGCCGTTCAAGTATTACGTAAGCACTATACGGGGGCAGGGGGGTTATTGATTTGCTTATTTTGCTTATTTTTGGTAAGAACTTTTGCTTACTTTTGCTGACAAAGGGGAGGGGGCGGGGGTAAATAATTGTAGTAAATCTGCTTACGTAATACTTGAACGATCCCTTTGAGAAAAGATTTTTTTTCTTTTGTTTTCAAATTTCAAAAAAAAATTTTTTTACTAAATTTTATTCTTGAAATATTTCATTATGGCACGGGAAGTTCCAGCAATTGATTGATTGAAATGATTAATTCGATTATATGCGCATTTTGGCAACTTGCCTCAAGGTACAATGCCACTTACACCTAATTTATTAGATTTTTTAAATACAAAAAAAAGTTTTGTTTGATTGAGACTATCCTGAGCGCAATACATATGCAAAGAGAAATTTGCAACATATATATATAGATAGAGAGATACTTTATTCAAATTCAACATTTACAATTTAAGTCAATACAATTATACTATAATATAACTAAATTAATATCAGTTATGTTTATGAACAACTCTAAGATTAACCTAATGATAATTAATATTTATCTTGGATTATATATATATATATATATATATATATATATATATATATAAATATATTGGATATATATATATATATATATATATATCATATATATTTATATTTATAGTCACATTCATATTTCCTTTCTAGTCGTGGTCCCTGATGGCCATCGTCATAACAATAAGCTCAGGTCTAGCCTTATTCACCTACAAAGCCACCCAGTTCGATGGCCTCGGTTTTACTCTACTTCTCCTGGCATCCTTATGTGCAGGTATCCGATGGACTTTTGCACAACTGGTGATGCAACGATACAAACTAGGATTGAATAATCCTCTAGAAATGCTTTATCATATGCAACCATGGATGCTGGCATCCATTATGCCTGTGGCATTGATCTTTGAAGGTAAGATAAAAGATGGTGATTAATTTGTATTAATAGTAAATGAGGATGGTTTTTGTTTTTTAGGTTCTCATCTGTGGACTTTGTTCTCTGGTCTGTCAACGACATCTTATTCAACGATAGGACATATTGTGATACTATTGATAATTGGAGCAGCTTTGGCTTTTGTGATGGAAATTTTTGAATATTTAGTAGTGCATAATACTTCTAGTCTCACTTTATCAGTGACTGGTATATTCAAGGTAATATACTTATATTATATACAGGGCCGGATTTAGAAATTTGACGCCCCGGGGCACTGACAAAAATGCCGCCCCATCCCTGAAATTTTACGAACTTTCGAACTTTTTTTTAAAGCAATCGCGCTGCTTCAGCTGCGTAGGGACAAAATATAGAAGCGCGTAAACGCCGCGTCGCAGTCTAACGGATAAACAATGTTACAGAACGCATATAAATGTAAACAAAATTTATACCTATTAACATATTTTTAAAATATCTGATAATTTGATGTGCATATGTTTTGTGATCACTTTTGTCCACCAAATGTTTCTTTTACAATTTTTTTATTATTATTGGATTATCGAAACCGCTAAACCTGCCTCCCACAAATTTAAGCAGTTATTTATTCTGTTAATTTTTTTGAATGATATTGGACGCTTTTTTTCTCAAAAACTGAATTATCATTTTTGGCATTTTGGCCCGTATCTTCAAAACAGTTGGACCTGCCTTGGCCAATAACTAATCAGCACGTCTCCTTATAAATAGGAATTGAATCATTTAAATCGGTTGATCCGTGTTCCCGAAATCGACTTAAATAATTAAAAAATATTAGATTTGTATTGATGGGGAGACGTGCTGATTAGTTTTTGGCAAAGGCAATGACGAAAAATGGTAATTGAGTTGCGATATTTCTTCTCTGAAACAGCTACGCAGCGCGATTGCTTTGCAAAAAGTTGAATAGCTTTTTATAAAATGTAATTTTTAGTACGGGATGTTTCAATAATTTGTCTTAAGGCACAATGCCATGAGTCACTAGTTTAAATTTTTTTCGACGCTATAAGCTTGGAAGTGCACAGATTCGTCATTTTAAGAGGGCTCGAGAACTGAAGTAAATATTTTTCTTAAACTCTCAGCTTGTTTACGGATCGGAATTTAATAACTTATTAACCAATTTGATAATTTACGTTTGGAGAGGGAGGCAAGGCAAAATAATAAATTTTAATAATTGGTTATTTCAACCCAAATCTTGCATTGCAATCGTATTATGTTTTATTAATTATATTTCTTGAAATATAAAAATGTTGGTAAAAAAATTTGATTATATTGTGTAGAATTTTTTTCTCACTATCCAAATTTTGCCTCCCCCAAAAATTTGCCGCCCTGGGCAGTAGCCCCGATTGCCCCTACTGTAAATCCAGCACTGATTATATATTATAATAATACAACAGTAATAATAAATGGTAGTCTTCCCAAAGAGAATCAATGATTCTCTTTTCCTCCCTATTACCATTATTCACTTTTTTATACATTTTGCTTTTCAAACTTCTGCTTCCATGCTTCCTGATTATGTGTCTCAGATTTTTTTCTGAACTACATATATACAATATAAATTATTACATATACATTCTATTTAGGAAATCGTCCAACTAATTTTCGCTGTGGAATTCAACGGCGACCAGCTAAGCACCATCAACTCCTTTGGCCTCCTCCTGTGCCTCTGTGGCATAGCTGGTCACATTTGGCACAAGTCAACCAAGAGCCAAAACTCAGAATCATCAACCAACGGAGGATCCAATAACACCATCAGCAATACAAATTCATCTGACTTCAAATCAACAGAAGAAGAGATTGAAAGGATTCTGCAGATTGATAAGAATAAAAGACTTCTGGACAGTGGTGATTTTAGCGAACAGACCAGGAAAGGTTTGTTGAGATATGAGAGTGATGATGAAGAAGTCGATGATGGTAAAGCTGGTGATAGTATGGATGAGTCGGATCAGTTGATTTTTGATATTTTAAAGAGAAGGGATTATGTTAGTTCAGATAAGACGTAAAGGGTATATATATGCGAGTTTTTTTTATAAATTTCGGACCAAGGAGACACATCACTTTTATTTTAAAAGTACTGCATCACATATTTAATATATTTCGCGCGTAAGGAAGTGAAACTTCTTTAAGTGAAAATGACAATTGTAATGGTAATTGATTTTTAATAAACTCATAATGTTTCTTTATGATATTCTCAGATAATCTACAACATTTTCAGACAATTGACAACATTTTCATACTATTTATACATTTTCAGGACTTATAATTTAAAACATTCACAGACATTATACAACGTTACCAGACAACTTACAACATCCTAGAAGACAATTTACAACGATTTCAGAACTTGACAATGTTCTCAAACCATCTGCAGCATTCTCAAACTATCTACAACATTCTCAGAAAATTTACAACATTCTCAGAGACTATACAACATTTTCATACTATCTACAACATTTTCATACATTCTGGAACAATCTCATACATTCTACAACATTCTCAAAGATTTTACATCATTCTCCGATTATTTATCAGATAATCTACAACATTCTCAAAGACTTTACAATATTCTCAGATAATCTACAACATTCTCAGAAAATTTACAATATTCTGAGACACTTTACAACATTCTCAGACATTCTACAACATTCTCAGAAACTTTTCAACATTCTCAGGCTATCTACAATATTCTCAGATAATGTACAACATTCTCAGAGACTTTACAATATTTTCAGACAATCTGCAGTATTCTTAGATAATCTGCAACATTCTCGAACATTTTCAGAGACTTCACAACATTTTTATACATTCTACAACATTCTCAGAGATTTTACAAAATTCTCAGACTATCTGCAACATTCTTAGACATTTTACAACATCTTCAGAAAATTTACAACATTCCCAGAGACTTTATTCTCAGACTATCTGCAACATTCTCAATGACTTTATAACATTTTCAGACTATCTGCAACATTCTCAGAGACTTTACAACATTCTTAGACTATCTACAACATTCTCAGACAACTATGCAACACTCTCAGAGACTTTACAGCATTCTTGGACTATCTACAACATTCTCAGACTATCTGCAACATGCTCAAACTATCTACATGCAACATTCTCCGAGACTTTACAACATTCTCGGACATTCTACAATATTCTTAAAGACTTTACAGCATTCTCACACATTCTTCAATATTCTCAGATAATCTACAGCATTCTCAGAGACTTTACAACATTCTCAGACTATCTGCAACATTCTCAGATAATCTACAACATTCTCAGAGATTTTCAACACTCTAAGACTATGTACGATATTCTCATACATTCTAAAACATTCTCAGAAAATTTACAACATTCTCAGAGACTTTACAGCATTCTCAGACTATATACAACATTCTCAGAGACTTTACAACATTCGCAGATTATCTGCAATATTTTCAGATAATCCGCAACATTCTCACAGACTTTACAACATTCTCACAGACTTTACAACATTTTCACAAACTTTACATCATTCTCATAATATTTGCAATATTCTCAGAGACTTTACAACACTCTTATCTGCAACATTCTCAGTCATTTTATAACATTTTCTGAAAACTTACAACATTCTCAGAGACTTTACAACATTCTCAGACTATCTGCAACATTATCAGAAAATTTACAATATTGTCAGAGACTTTACAACATTCTCAGACTATCTGCAATATTCTCTCAGATAATCTACTAAATTCTCAGAGACTTTACAACATTCTCAGACTATCTGCAACATTATCACACATCCTATAACATTCTCAGAAAATATACATTCTCTGACTATCTGCAACATTCTCAGACATTCTATAACATTCTCAGAAAATCTACAATATTCTCATAGACGTGTCAACACTCTCAGACTATCTGCAACATTATCAGAAAATTTACAACATTCTCAAACTATCTGCAATATTCTCAGATAATCCGCAACATTCCCACAGACTTTACAACATTCTCACAGACTTTACAACATTCTCATACTATTTGCAGTATTCTCAGAGACTTTACAACACTCTTATCTGCAACATTCTCAGTCATTTTATAACATTTTCTGAAAACTTACAACATTCTCAGAGACTTTACAACATTCTCAGACTATCTGCAACATTCTCAGACATTCTACAACATTCTCAGAGACTTTACAAAAGCATCAGACCATAGGCAACATTCCCAGGAAATTTATTAACATTTTCAGAGACTTTACAACATTCTCAGATAATCTACAACATTCTTAAAGACATTACAACATTATCAGACATTTTACAACATTCTTAGACTATCTTCTCAGAGACTTTACAATATTCTCAGATAATCTACAGAATTCTCAGAGATTTTACAAGATTCTCAGACTATATGAAACGTTCCCAGACATTCTACAACAATCTCAGAGACTTTACAACATTCTCGGACTATCTGCAATATTCTTAGATAATCTACAACATTCTCAGAGACTTCATAATATTCTCAGACTATCTGCAATATTCTTAGAGGCTTTATAACATACTTAGACTAGCTGCAACCTTCTCAGACATTCTCAGATAATTTACAACATTCTCAGAGACTTCACAAAATTCTAGGATTATCTTCAATATTCTTAGATAATCTACAAAATCCTCAGAGACTTTACAACATTCTCAGAGTATCTGCAACATTCTCAGACTATCTGCAACATTCTCAGACATTCTACAACATTCTCAGAGACTTTACAAAAACATCAGACTATCGGCAACATTCTTAGAAAATTTATTAACATTCTCAGAGACTTTACAACATTCTCAGACATTCTACAATATTCTCAGATAATCTACAACATGCTCGGAGACTTTACAACATTCTCAGACTATCAGCAACATTTTCAGATAATCTACAACATTTTCAGAGATTTTACAACACTCTCAGACTATGTGCGATATTCTCATACATTCTAAAACATTCTCAGAAAATTTACAACATTTTCAGAGACTTTACAGCATTCTCAGACTATATACAACATTCTCAGAGACTTTACAACATTCTCAGAAAATTTACAACATTCTCAGAGACTTTACAACATTCTATGACATTCTACAACATTCGCAGAGTATCAATATTCTCAAATAATTTACAACATTCTCAGAGACTTAACAACATGCTCAGACATTCTACAAAATTCTCAGAACCTTTACAAAAGTTTCAAACTATCAGCAACATTCTCAGAGACTTTACAACATTCTCAGAGACTATCTGCAACATTCTCAGACTACCCACAACATTCTCAGACTATCTGCAACATTTTCACATATTTTATTAAGTTTTTAGACAATTTGCAACATTGAACATTTAGCTCAACATGATTAGAAATCGAATTAGAAGTTTCACTTCCATAAGCGAGGTTTAATAATAATTTTAACAACTAATCGTACTCTTTGAAGACAAATTCTTCTTTCACATTTATTTAGTACATCAATCATATTTATTTTCACCAAGGACATTATAATTATATAAATTTTTTATATGGATTTTTACTAGAAATTATATTATTTTTGTACTTTTAAGCATAAACAAAGCGAGCAGATCAAAAAATACTTAAAAAAATCTACTTAAACATTCCACAAAATATTTTCATCAGATGTAGAATAAAAATAAAACTTTGTATACATTTAGAAAACACAATTATGTGTATAAAACTATTTTTTTTAATTTATATAACGCTTTTGTAATAAATATTAGCTATTATTAGTGTTTCTAATGTTATAGACGTAATACAAATGCATTTCAAGTCAAATTTAATAATCTATTAATAAATATTTTGATGTGATTTTTATATAATAGTTTCTAACGTAATAATAAAAATTAATAAATGAATAAAACTAAGTTTATGGTTGGTGTGAAAATAATTCTTTTGTACTGAATATATTTTCGAAACAAGATGAAAAATCTTTTTTAGTAACATTTATGTACTATCTGTTTTTATATGTTATTTTAAAATTGCAATGGTATGCATTTAAAAAATTATATATATACAAGGGTGATCTGAAAAGTTACAAACCTAACAATGATGATAATTCTGTTTTCTTAATTTTTATTAACTTCCCGTAGGGTAAGTTATTGTAATGGGCCGAAAATCGACATTGAAAATTTTTACATTTTTCGACGTTTTGAAGGTTTCTGAACATTTTGGAATACACCCAGAAAAAATGGATGTGTGTGTATATATATGTATGGATACAATTTTTCGTCCACGCATGAATCCACCGATTTGAATGGTTCAAAAAACATTCGACTCCTATTGATAAGGAGACGTGCTGATTAGTTTTTGACAAAGGCAGGTCCTGCCGTTTCGTTGATACGGAGCAGAAAATAGAAATCGAGTTTTTGAGAGAACGGAGCATCCGATTTGAATGATCTAAAAAACATTCAATTAGTAATGATTGGGAGAAGTGTTTATTAGTTTTTGGCAAAGACAGGCCCAGCCATTTCGAAGATAAAAAGCTAAACATACAAAAAATGTCAGTTTTTTAGAGAAATAAGCATTCGAATTGAATGATTCAAGAAACTTTCTGCTTGTGTTGACAAAACAATTGCTTTTGAAAAAAAAAATCATTTCATTTTTCAATTTTCAAAATAATTCAGGTTTCAATTTTGATTCTGGCTAAAGTTTTAAAGCTCACTTATATACTTTAAATTTTTTCGAAAATAAAACCACAAAAACTTAGTTAAAAAGTCCGTGGATAGATATCTTTGAATATTTCATTATAGTCCATGATTTGAACTTGATATTTAATATATTCAAATTGAGTTTAAAAAAAAAATTTTTTTAAAAAAAGCATGAGTAGCATGCCATGGTTTTAACTTGATATTTATCATATTCGTGCTTTTTTTAAACACTTTTTACTCAATTTGAATATAAAAAATATCAAGTTAAAACCTTAGGCATATCCATAGAATAATTTTTTATTCTTATTACAAGTGCTTATGTAAGAATGCCATAATGGTAACTGTCGCTAACATAAAATTTTCAGC